ATAACTCTTCAAAAAATTTAATTTTTACAAAATCAACTTTGGGGTCATATTTTGGTACGAAAATACTATAAAATTATTTATATGCAATATAAAAATATGTCTATCGAAAAATTAGTGGTATACGCTTCAGAAATTTTGAGCCTTATACGGACACACACCCAAGCTGTCCGTATAATCAAGACTCCAGTGTATGGGTAATTTCATTTAAATTGTCATTTTCAGCCTCAACAAAAGTTGAAGTAGCAAGTTCCGATTCTGTAATTTAAACCAAATTTTTTAAACAGTTATATATATTACATTAACGAAATTCATAGTGGTCGCGCAATTATAGTGATATATTTTTCACATAAGAGACGCTTTTCGTCAGAAATAGTAAAATTTTTTTAAAAAAAATTTTCTGCAAATTTTTCATTAAATGATGATTAATTTGTTAGAGACAAGTACTGTTTCGTTACTCTTACAAATATGAAACTCAAACAAACCATAAATTTTACTATAAGGTCACGTTTGATAAAAAAAAGTTTTTTTAATTAACCCCTTCGCAGTCAAGACCAAAATCTCTTAAGTGGGCTCAAAATGTCGACAACTTTTTAGAAAACTAAAATTTGCGCAAACGAGCATACTATTGTATTTGAACTCGCTGATTACAAATCCGATATCAGATTTTGAAAATTCAAAATGGCGGATCCAATATGGCGGATGACATTTTTAAAAATTCATCGGATTCACTTGAAACTTTTTACTCAGGAGTTTTCGGGGTCGCTGATTACAAATTCGATATCAGATTTTGAAAATTCAAAATGGTGGACTCAATATGGCGGACATTTTAAAAAATTCATCGGATTTACTTGAAACTTTTTACTCGGGGGTTTTCGTGGTCGCTGATTACGAATTGAATATCAGATTTTAAAAATTCAAAATGGCGGATCCAATATGGCGGACATTTTCAAAAATTCATCGGATTCAGTTGAAACTTTTTACTCGGGGGTTTTCGGGGTCGCTGATTACGAATCCGATATCAGATTTTGAAAATTCGAAATGTCAGATCCAATATGGCGGACGACATTTTTAAAAATTCATTAGATTCATTTGAAACTTGTTACTAGAGGGTTTCCGCTGATTACGAAAAACTTTTTAAACGATAAAAAAATACCAAATTTTCCCCCCGCAGACAGCTGGTGAGTATACTAGGTTACTTACGACCCGAGAGTGTACCAGGGGGAGGAATGCTGTCGGATTTTACACTCCTTTATTTTTATTTTTTTATTTTTTATCTGATATCAGATTCGTAATCAGCGACCCCGAAAGCCCCCGAGTATTAATTTGTGGACGAATCTGTTTGTTTTTGTAGCCAAAAATCTGCTTGCGTCTATACACGTCATCGACAGTTTGAGCCCACCTGCACCATGACGTATACACGTCATCGACTGCCAAGGGGTTAAGCAAAATACAGAGAAAAGTGAGTTAAAATGAAAAAATGACATTTTCATTTCGCCAAGAAAATAATAATTTGATATTAATATATTATTTTATAACTCTGTTCTAACAGTTAATGCATTGGTAAAGTTGAGGAAAATAGTTTTATGTCTATTTATTTACCATTTCAGAATTGTTTGAAGGTAAAACTTGGGCTAAAGGTTTGGGACACTCATGACATTGTACAGCACTCATTACATTCCCAACAAATGTTGGGAAAAAATACTCACCCCATTTCAATTAAATTGTTACATTGATTCTTCAACAAATTTTATGTGGTAAAAATTTTTTATACGTGTTTGTGTTTACGGTAGATAATTACGAAACTGAAGTTGGATTTTAAAAATTCAAAATGTCGAATCCAATATGGCGAACGAATTTTTTAAAACTCATGGAATTCAGTTGAAACTCGTTACTCGGGGGTTATCGGGATCCCTAATTACGAATATGAAGTTGAATTTCAAAATGTCGGAATCCGACTAACGAGTTTGAACTGAATTCTATGAGTTTTTACAAAACTCGTCAGCCATATTGAATCCGACATTTTGAATTTTCGAAGTCCGACTTGAGATTCGTAATCCGAAAGCCCGAAAACCCCCGAGTAACGAGTTTAAATTAAATTCCATGAGTTCTACAAAATTCTTTCGACATATTGGATCCGCCATTTTAAATTTTTAACATCCGACTTCAAATTCGAAATCAGCGAATCCAAAACTCCCGAATACAAAGTTTTAAGTCAATTGCATTATAATTTAGAAACTTTTGTGTGCCTTTTCCACACCGTTTTTTGAAAAAAATACACTTAGTATCAAAAGGCTAATCTGTCCAAAACACCTCCGTTTCGCCTAAGATCGACAAAAATATAATTCTTATTTATAAAAATGTACATTTTAATTATTTACATCAAAATTCTAAATGGCCCAAATATAAGCCTTAGGGGACCTCCTCCTTTGTGGGACACTATCATGACATTTTGCTCGTTCTTGCTTATATCTATGAACTGGTTATATTTATATCGAAAATTCTGGTCTCATTCGAAAGATAATCCAAAACTATTATTAATTTCATTCTGATATTGAATATAAAATATTAATTTACCAATTTTAAGACGGGACACTCATGACAGTTATCTAATTACATTAAAATCTTTTTTTTCTGTCACATTTGTAAACACGACATTCCATTCTTTTTAAGTTGATTCATCGTTATCTTCTGCTGCGGATTCGTCAGTAAAGCAGCTTTGTTGCTCACTGGATAAATCTTTAGACACGCATAAATACAAAATTTTGCATTCAGAGTAAAATAAGGTAAAAGTGAGGGACACGTCATTTTTATTTTTTTTAAAAAGGTTAAACAATTAAATAAAGTTATCAGCAGTTAATTATCCTTAAATATGTAAGTTATAGTTCACTGCAAAGTTTTGGTTTACTTGTGAAAAATTAATATTACGAAAATACGTTCACTTGAAATCTAATAATTCACTCCTGGACATGGGACACTCATGACATTTTGCCTGCATTTCGATCTGCCATTATTATACATAGCATTTTTACATGCTTGCAAGTTGAAAAAATGTTAAAGGAGATTGCATTTCACGACATTGAAAAATAAATTTTACCAAAAACTGTAACAAAAAGTTTTTATTGTCAAAAGACACGATTATGACAATTTAAATGAAATGACCCGTATTATGATCTTTCGAATGTTCTTTAGAAATAATGTAGGAATATATTGTATTGCTCTCTCAAAAATGACTTTTCATGGGTGTTTGTATATTTTTAATTTCAAAATGTTACACTACCGTCCGTGAGTATCAGGACGCCCCTTTTTTCATGAGTGGAAAAATGCTTAAAACGTAGAAAATAAGAATGACAAAAATTTTTCGTATATTTTTCCTGAAAGCTATAAATGAAATTATGAAAAGACTGACACCTGATCGAAGAATTTTCGTTGACTATTCTGTCAGATACAGAAAAAATACTGGATTTTGCATGCTTTTAGTAATTTTTTAATTTCTCGAAAACTAATTAACTTTTTTTTAGCGTTCTTGGTCTTGTTTCAATCTCTATTCAATGTAGAATCTAAATTAATTAATGGTATTGTGATATAAATTTTTCCAAAAAAATTTGAAACTGAAAGTCGGATAAAAAAATTTTAAAAAACAGATTGACACTTTTTCAAAAAAAAAAATTTTTTTTCATTAAATAATTTAGTAATTAAAAAGCTTTTTTGAATTTTCGTATATCTATTAAATGAACATATTTTACATTGACCTGTTTGACACTTTAATATTCATGATAATTTTTTGAATTTTTTTAATCCTACTTTTACGGTTTCAAATTTTTTTGCAAAAATTTATTTCACAATACCAGTTAATAATTTAGATTCTACATTAAATAGAGATTAAAACAAGACCAAGAGCGCTAATAAAAGTTAATTAGTTTTCGAGAAATTAAAAAATTACGAAAAGCATGCAAAATCCAGTATTTTTTCTGTATCCGACAGAATAGTCAACGAAAATTCTTCGATCAGGTGTCAGTCTTTTCATAATTTCATTTATAGCTTTCAGGAAAAAAATACGAAAAATTTTTGTCATTCTTATTTTCTACGTTTTAAGCATTTTTCCACTTATGAAAAAAGGGGCGTCCTGATACTCACGGACGGTAGTGTATATCTTTATTCCTCAACGTAAAGTCCAAAAATTGTTTATAGTTTATAAAAGTACTGGTGTTAACCATTTTTTGTCCATAACTTTTAAAAAATCTTAGTACACCTATACATTTTTTTTCTTTGATTTTATAGTTTTCTCAGACGCTTCTCTTTTAATCGCTTATTAAACATTTTTTATCAATGCTAGCTTAAGATATTGACTTTTTAAAAATTTTTAAAAACGATACTTTTTTGAAAATTTTGTTAAAAAATGTACAACTAACTTCAAAAGTCGCATAACCAACTTGTAGAATATTAAAAAACGCTTCGATTGACCTAGACTTGAATCAGTTTTCATGGTTCTTAAAAAGAAAATTCAAAAAAACACTTAAAAAACAGCCGTCACACGGGATGAGCCCCTTAAAAACTGGCATCATATTCGTATTCAGCAAACCATAAAACATACCAAATAATCTTTAAGACAGAAATTTAATTTTTTTAAAAATTTTCTACCGCCATATAGGATTTGCTATTTTGAATCTTTAAAAATTGACATTAGAGTCGTAATCAGTTTTACTTGTCAGTCAATGATTTATAGATACTAATCAACGAAAAATTATTTTTAAATTTTTGGGAAAAAGTACGTATTACAAAATTTGCCTCAAGGTTTTTGTTTAAATAATTAAATGTTTTTTAAGAATATGATAGTTATAACAACACAAAATCTTAAATAACTTAATTCACGTTCAACGTAAACTAACAGAATCCGTTGATATATTTTCCATTTCAATAATAGCATAGATGTGAAATTTCTGCTATAAATTTTATTTCTATTATTTCAAATGTTTAGGATGAAAATTAAAAAATGTTTGAAATAATTAAATAAATTTATGATTTATTACAATATACAGAAATTTTGATAATTTTACATTGTTTGATAAGTATAAAAGTTTAATGTTATTACCAAGAAATCAAAACATGACTTAAAATAAAGTTTCTTAAAGCAAAAAACAAAAAAAAAAGAAGAAACTTATAACTCAGTTAATTTTTCATAAACTAAGAAAAAGCAATTTTTATTACTCATCACAAGACTTCTCTTTTGTTATTAATAGAAATCATGTCTATTTTTTTCTATTAATTTGTGAAAGTCAAAAATTTTATTCGCTATTGAATTTAAAGCGGTTTTTTTATAACAGCAATAATTATATACAAAATATCCCTGAATATATTTCCTTCATACAGTTTTATTACTTGCGGCACATGTGAACAACTTTACTTTTTTATCTACACAGCAATTCTATGCATCTATTAAAATTTTTCAAGCGTGGATCTTATACAATAATATATATAATTTTCCTAATACTTTCTTTCTCTATTCACACAATTTTATCATTTCTATAAATTGAAGTCACGATTCAATGATTTTTACAGTATAAAAATTAACTTGTTTTGAATATAGCTGCCTTTATACATATATATATATATATATATATATATATATATATATATATATATAATATGTTTGTATATAAACTAAACATCTAATTACTCTTTGGCATTTTTATACTCCTGATACTTTCAAAGAAGTAAAAATAACACTAAATTAAAATAATTCAATTGTTTTGTTTTACTCATTAATAAGAGAAATACAGAAATATTCGTAATGTCATTCTAACAGAAATATAGTGTTCCTTTTCTTTACAGGTGAACATTTTGTACAAAAAATTTCATTGTAAAAGATTTAATCAAAATGTCGAGTAATATTTCAGCATTTCTCTGGAGAGAATTGTTTTTTTATCATTGAGTCGTGTCTTAGTAATTTTAATATTTTCTTACTGTGAATTTTCACTCATCGATATCCCGCAGCTTCAAGCATTTCCACAAATAGCTTATTCATCGGTACTTTGCCAGTTCGATAAACATTTGACCAAAATCTTCTCACTATACCATCTGCTTGTCTAAGACCAGGCATAATTAGGAACATATTTTGTATAGCTCGCAGAGCTTGACCAGGTCGTACGGAAGCTACACAATCCGACAAAGAATATAAGATGCTGTCTCGAAAACGATAAAGAGCTTGCGGTTCATCCAATCTTACATCACTGTTTGCTAGGATTAGTGCTTTTAGTATGTAATATTCTTCACGTGTCAAGCCCAATCTTTGTATTCTTTCAACAATTTGTACACACTGAAAATAAAACATTAGAAATTAATTAAATACCAGCAAATGTAAATAAAGACCAGCAAAAACAAACACTTTCTTTATATCATTTTCACTACAAATAATTCTGGTCAACAACTAAAATACATCTTTTAACATTATAAACTAAAGTTCGTTTCAAAGTTAATGTTTTCTCTGTTTGCTAGAAATTCTGTCACACGGTGGTCTTGAAACATTTTAAATACTTTTGACACATGCCCTTTCCAATTTGTACATAAAACCTTTCCACACCACCTACAGAATTGATTTTAACTTAAATCAAAAATCGTGTATTGGGTCGATTTTTTTTAAACTTCCTTTAGGAGTTATGGAGGAGGGAAGAAAAATAAAAAAACTCATTTTTTCGGAAAGTACTTAACCGATTTGAATGGAATTTAAATATAGATACGACAATTTAAAAAAAATTTTTCATAATTTTTTTCCAAAAAAAAATTTAAAGAAATTGATTTTAAAATTTTCAAAAATTTTTTTTTGATTTTTTTTAATAACACATCATCAATTTTTTTTTAAAAAATACCTTAGAGTTTCCTCTTTAATATATATTTTTTCTCAATTTTTGACAAATATAGTTTTTTCAAAAAACGATTTTTTTGAAAAAAACCCAAAAATTCATTTTTTCGGAAACTACTTAAACGATCTAAATGAAATTTATATATGTTGTAAACATAAATAACACAATAAATAGTGTAATTTAACGATCACTCTGAGTGATAGAATCATCTCTTGTCGTATAAATAAAACAATTTAGAAAAAATATTTCAAAATTTAAAAAAAATTTCCAAAAAAATTAATTTGAAATTTTTTTTTTACTTTGTATTAAAGTTACACCTACAATTTTTATTTTTAAAAATTCCTTAGAGTTTCCTCTTAAATATATATATTTTGCAGATTTTTGAAAAACAACCTAAAAGACTCATTTTTTCGGAAACTACTTAACCGATTTAAATGAAATTTAAATTTGCGTTAGAAACATAAATAAGACAGTTTAAAAAAATATTTCAAAATTTAAAAAAATAATTCTAAATTAATTATTTTAAAATTTTCAAGAAAAATTTTTTAAGTAGTTTCCAAAAAAAAAGAGTTTTTAAAGTTATTTTTCAAAAAAGTCGTTTTTTGAAAAAACTACATTTTTTAAAAACCTGGAAAAAATATTAAATATATCAAAGAGGAAACTCTAAGGTATTTTTTAAAAGAAAAATTAAAGGTGTAACAAAAAAAAAACAAAAAATTTTTTTTGAAAATTTCAAAATTAATTTCTTTACATTTTTTTAAAAATTTTCTTATCTATATTTATAAAATATATAAATTCCATTCATTTTGACATAAGTTTCAAGAAAATCGGGCGCGACATGTTTTGAGATATTTAAAAGGTTAACTTTCAAACTTAATTTTTTTCATAAATTTTATTATTTAAAAAAAAAAATCTTACCATCATAAAGTTGCGAAATTTTTCTTTTAAAATCACTAATAGTAAATAAAGTTTCGCTTCAATAAATAGGAGAACTAATTATTTAAAAATTGCCTTACAATGTCAATTGTTTATAAGGTGGTTCGTTTTGAAATGGAATGCCCCATATGTAATATATTTAAATAAAATCATACTTATGTCTGAACATTACTTAAATCTTGAACATTTTATTATAAAAAGTTGTTTCAAACATCAAGAAATTCAAAGAAGTCCAGAAAAAATGTCATGTACATACCCAATGGGAAATGCACTACTATACCAGCGTTGGCAGTATCGGGGCTACACTGAATTTCAGTACTGGTAGAATCAAGAAGGCTAGAGACAGGAGGTGAAACTTCGGTAGTGGGGATGAGTCAAGAGTCTTCCTTTAACCAGGCGTTTTTCGTTTCGAAAAGTCGCCGGCGCGGTGCTTCTGCACATCACTCACACATTCAAATTCTTGTATACCGTGTTTCACATGTGCACTGTAAAAAAATTTTTCTGTAGATTTACAGTTTTTTACAGGAATTTGTAAAATACCACCTTTGAAAGTAGCGAATTTACAATCCCTTTAATAAAATTACTACTTTCAGCGTGTCAATTTTACAATTTTCTGTAAATTTACTACTATGAAAGTAGGTAATAATCAGTAATAATTTTGTCCTTTTATTGCCTACTTTCATAGTAGTAAATTTACAGAAAATTGTAAAATTGACGCGCTGAAAGTAGTAATTTTACTAAAGGGATTTCAAATAGAAGCAAATGACGATTTAGTACCAAAATTGGTACTAAATTAGTACCTTTCTTTATACAGTGTAACTTGAAAGTGGGATATTGTAATTGCAACAATGGTATATTATAATATACATTATATTTAATATATATTACAGAAGAATATTAAAATATAAGGAATCATTTAAAAATTAATTTTTAAATGAAAGATTAGTGCAATAAATTTAAGCTTAATGAATAAAATTCCTAAATTTTTATATAAAATAAATTTATATTCTAACTTTTCATTTAAATAAACAGATTTTACAAAATTATTTGCCAATTTAATTTATTGAAAGAATTTGCCACTATGAATAACAATAATGCCAAATGCAAATAAGTACCGAATAATTACATTACACCATTAAAACAAATACGAGACTTTTATACATAAGAACATTGTTTAAATATTTACCAGAAGAATAATAAAACAATAAAGAATATTTCAAGATACAGTAAAAAATGCTTCATGTCAATCATTTGCATATAATTAAAAAATAACAAAAAAGTGAGGTTACTTTTTGTGAAATGTGAATGAAAACAATAACAACCTAACAAGATGGTTGGTTTTACCAAGAAGCTTGTGTTAATTTCTTTAAATTTGTTTAACTTGTCCAATGTAGTTCGCTTTACCAGCTCTCACTAGTTATCAAAATCAAGTACAAAGAAAATTCAAAAAAGTCATTTTAACCCTTTAAAAAATAAAAAGTATATTCAACTTCATAATTTTAATTCATATTACTAAAAATTTATATATGAATATGACTACAAATATTTTAACTAACGATAAATTGTTAATTTCGTATTGAATTTTTTTTCAGTGAATAATTAACAAAAAAATTATTCAATTTATGAATTTTGAAATTAAGTTGTTAAAAACATATTTACAGTACTAAGCCGAAGTTTACTTGCCAATATATGGCATTACAATGGCGAAAACATTTATTCTATTCTGCGCCAAGATTTTCCTGACAAGGTTTGGCATAACTATGGCAGAACCATTTATTCTGTCCTGCGTCAAGATTACCCTGCCAAGACTTGGCAAAATGCTGGAAGAACAAATGGTTCTGTCCTGCGCCATTTGTCATTGTTGACATTGTACAGAGATTTCCCATTGGGTATGTACACTTTTTACAATTTTTTAAACTCCTGCATATTTTTTAAAAATTGTGGACAAAATTTAAAACTTATATAGGGGGCAAAATTCCTCAACTGTCCAGGTCAAAATTGAATTTTCTCGAAACTTTGCCAAAATGTTACTATTATTAGTAGAATAGTGATTTTTGAAGGGTATTTCACGAGCTACAAGCTGGTGATGAAAAAAAATTGTTTTCTTTCAATTTGACCTCTGACGTTTATAACTTTTCAAGGTCCAACTCTGAATTTTACATGGCTCATAGGAGAAATGGTAAGCTTTCCATTGGGATGAAAAAATCAGAGTGAGACCTTGAAAAGTTATAAACGTCAGAGCATTTTCAGTCAAAAACCGTACAAAATTAACTAATTCAATGCATTTGTCCAAAAACATGCTCTGACATTTATAATGATATCTCGCGAACCGAATAAGTTTTTATAACTTTTTTAGTATTAAATTAAAGTTGAAACTTGAAGGATTTGTATGTTTATTGGTATATTTATGGCCCATGCATGTGGATAAACAAAAAATTTTAATTACTGACACTACAGTCCACGAGTATCAGGACGATTACACGCGACTCTATGAAAAAACATGCTATCACTTTTTCAATCATATTTCGGAAATAAAAGCAGATACAAAAAAAAACTTAAATACGGTTAGAAAGCTGATTAAATTTTGCGTAAAATAAACTGTCTTTAAAGTCATTTCGTTAACTATTTTTTGAGTTGTGGAGTGAGAAAGAAATAAAAAAAATTATCAAATTTTCTCATTTTAGTCTCTTGACTTCAACTTTTTCAAAAATCTAGAAAAATTTAGATAAAATTTTTTTTAAAACACTGAAATTTTTGTTAGAATTTTAGCTTTAATAGTATATTTAGCAACAAGGTACGTAAAGGCAGCCATTTATTTACGGTGGTTTTCGTGACACGAGTGGAGGTCGAGGGCGCCGTAGATGGATGGCGCCAAAAGCTCAAATGTGGCGTACAATATTCATTTCACATGACAAGTATACAGTGTAAAAGGGACTTCAATCGGATGAATAGTTTTCTCCCCAGGACTGTGGAATAGTTTCGCCCGCGAATAGTAATGCCCCACCCTACACTATTTAAATTTAATTAAAGTGATATGTTTTTAAAATAAATATATTTAAATATTTAAGGGAGATTGGGGTATTGTGGGACAAACTTTTTCTTAGCTCAACATCTTACACAAAAAATTGTTTTTTTCTAATATTTAAATTTTTTGTATCAGTAAGAGGTATAAACTAACATATGTCATAGTCAGTTTCCTAAAATTATCACTTACTTAAAAGAAATTCCAGTTTTACCAAATAGTGCACTTTCATGATATTTAAAAATGTGGGATAATTGTGGGCAACTGCCTAAATTAAGTTCAAAATAAAAAATAACAATGAAATATATTTATTAAATGGTTAGAAATATTAAAAATGTTTAATTGTTAGTTTAAAATTAGAAAAGAAAAAGTAAGAAAATGAAATTAATCGGAATCAAAATTTGGACAAGGGTCAGTCCATTATATTTCACCTGAAGCCGTTGCGGCCTATTTTTTAAAAAATCTCATAATTTGTAAAAATGATGTTGAATATCCATA